AATATACGAAATTATTTTATGTTCAACGGTGTCAATGAGTTCAATTCCACCAATGAAGCTCTTTCGTTAGATATCCATAATGGAGGTAGTAGTGGAACAATAGATTATATGGCGTATGGTCATCAAGATTAAGAGTGTGTACCAAATATCAGATCGATCTGTCGTCAGGAAGGGGGTGACATTCAAGTTACTGAAGACCCGAACAATCAAACGGGGCAAGCTAAATAAAATCACTACAAAGTATAAAACAAAGTCGCTATCCGCCGTCTGTCTGTCCCTATGTATGCTTATATCTTTAGAACTACGCGACGGATTTTGATGCGATTTTTTTAATGGATAGAGTGATTCTTAAGTAATGTTTATATGCATAATACATGCATATTGCATCTGTGCAAAGACGGGTCGGGTCGTTAGTATAGAGGTAATACATACTAGCTTTTACCCGCGGCTTCGCTCGCGTCACAAAAGGATAAAAAGTAGCCTATGTGACATATACCAATACAAACAGCACCATCTATACCAATAACTTCGTTTTCCCTCGAGAATATCATTTTTTCCGGGATAAAAAGTACCCTATTATTATTATTAAATAATAGGGTACTTTTAGGGACGTAGTCTGCAAAATTCAAAGCAATCTGTTTAGTAGTTACGGCGTGAAATCGGAACAAACAAACAAACTCACTTTCCGATTTATAATATTAGTAAGGATATAGGTATGTTCACAGACCAACAGAACTGTAGATTACGCACTTCTTAAACTATAATCTGAACTTTTTGCCAAGTATGGAGTTTATTTTATTTTATTTTTACATTTAGAAAACTTACAGCTAGTGAAACAAGTGAAACAAGTGAATTTATTTCTGCAAATAGGCTACAAGGCAGCACTTTGCGATGAGGCCGATATTTCCTAACTGACTACTCTGAGAAGAAATGCCAAAACTAACTCAGAGGTCTTTTAAAGTCCAGACAAATGTGTATAAAAGATTATGTGTGAGAACCGTGCCAGTTTTTTCTGTAGTGGCCTTTTGAGGAAAGAACCACAACAGTTTGAGCGGACCCGTTCTGAAGGCAGTACGCATGCACGCACGCATATAGAATTGACAATTATATATAACTATGATTAAAGTATGACCAACTACAAGTTTTCGCATATATTAGCTAAGTATTTTAAAAAAATATCGTGACTAGCCGACAGTAGTCAGTAAATTACAACCTTCAGCCACTCACATTTTTTCCACTCAATATGTCGCAAGCAATACAAGGAAAGAAAAATAATAATAAAAAGCAGTAACAACTACATCTATGACAATATGAAACAAGAAAAAAAACAAACAAAAGAAGCATTAACGAAAAGTTTTTTTTATATGCTGTTAACTAATCGATCGATAAAAAATCGATCCAATCGACGATAGTTACGATGTGTGAAAAAGTGGTTACACATCAGCCTCTTTAATTTCGTCTCACTGATGTTAAAGCTAACTCTCATTATGTAGAGGAGGCTCATAGTCCATATTGGCTAATTTAATATAACACAAACAAAGTACTTGAGTAATATACTTTTTGTGAAGAAAATAAAAACTTGAATTTTAAAACTTCAGTACATTTAGAAGTTTCAGTGTTTTTCAGTGAGCCAGCTGTTTCGTTTCAGTATAACTTCGTCTGAGAGCGAACCTTTTTTCAGCGACTTTTTCGTACATTTGTATACATAAGAAAATATATATTTTTTTTTTAATTTTTCAGAGAGAATGTCTTCTCAGTGGTCTCTAGATAGTCTTAGAAAGTATGAATGCCATTTATTTCTCAGTACCTGTACGGTTGGTGCGGTGGCTGGGCAACCGGCTGCCGTGCAACGTGTCGCGGGTTCGATTCCCGCACGGAACAACACTTTGTGTGATCCACAAATTGTTGTTTCGGGTCTGGGTGTCATTGTGTGAACTTGTATGTTTGTAAACGCACCCACGACACAGGAGGAAATCCTAATGTGGGGCACCTTTTTAAAAAAAGAAAAAATAAAAAAAAAAATACAAAAAAAACATATAACTCAGAAAAAGTTACATTGGTACATGCCGTTGATAGATTTCGAACCAGCACTCTCACGCATAAGAAGAAGGCGTCTTAAACCTCCGGGCCATCATGACCTTTGTTTGGTTAAAATATCGGAAACAAAAACGAAGCGAAGCGATTCGCAAGCACGTAGGATACCGCCACCGCGTCACATGTAGAAATAGAATATAACCAATTGACTTTGGACTATTGTACGCTTTATTGGAATCGGCCCACGTGGCAAGGGTTGAGGCGTCATGCACACATAAATGTCCTACAGTCGGTGGCGCTGTGTGTTGGGTTGTTCCATTCCCAATAAAAAGATTGACCGGACCAATTGCTGACACACACGTCATACTCGTGAACGGGTGCCTTCTGCTGGGTCAGGTCGGCTCTCCCATCTTGTTGGTGGACTGGTTCCATAAAGCCTTCGAAATAGAAATAAATAAATAGTGCCTAATTATAATTTATTTATTTATTCCACTTACATTTATCTTTACAGGTTAATGCCCAATGCGATAAATGTGCTCATCTTACTATCTACCTATAGCATATTACATATAATGCATTCCTTGTGAATTCACCCAGAGTACAACAAAATAGGTCGATTTCAATAGAAATCAGGTTGAGCGTGCGAAGTGCACGCGTCAGCGGCGCTTCCCTTAATAGGTTGGTCCGACCGCGGGGTTCTACCAGCAGTGGCGGTCGCCGGCGTCGCCATACGTACCTATCCGGAACACATAGACTCAGCTGTCCTAAAATGACTGCATTGTGCAGCTTTCCTCTTAATATTTTAAACAAATGTGAGGTGAGTGCAAAATCCCGTCTTACCCTTAACTCATTGTACCCCACCATGCCTAAAATAAATAATGTAATCTATACTTTTGGTAATAATTATAGATGTAGTTAATTGTAGTGTGTAACTAGGTTCCCTCTTTACTTTATAAAAATTGATTAGATGTATTGTAATAAAATAAACTGTATGACAAGGGCACGGACCTAGAGTCCGTGGAGAAATAATCTATAATATTATAAAAAAAGCCACCGCGTCACACCGCATCACATTGAATACCTATGTCACCGCTGCATAATCGCATTTGCTTATAGATCGTTCACGCAGCGTAATAGCTCAAAATAGGGAAGGATAGTGGGTATGAAAGTCCGCATTTTTGACAGCAAAACAAACAATGATTTGTATTTCCAGTTATCATCGTGTCGTGGTGTCCCGGAGGTTTAAAATGCCCGCTTCTCATGCATGAGGGCGCGGGCTCGAAACCTACCAACGGCAAGTACCAATGTGACTTTTTCCGAATTATTTATACTTTCTAAGATTATCTAGAACCCACTGACAAACGGTGAAGGAAAACATCGTGAGGAAACCTGGGCTTATAATTTTAATTATAAGTTTGTAATCGCCAACCTGCATTGAGCAAACGTGGTGATTAATGCTCAAACCTTCTCCGTGTGAGAAGAGGCTTTGCTCAGCGGTGGGCATTTATAGGCTGATGATGTATCGTGTCATACAAAATACTCGGCAAAAAAAGTC